CAGACAAAACTAAAGTTAATTGCCTCACAAATTGTTCTGTTATCCTTGTTTCAAAAAGCCAACTTTGACATCTGTATATAAGGTCTACTCATCAAGGCAAATCTATATTCATCTTTTGTTAAAAAAGAATAAAATAACACTSTAATATCATTATAACTTACAGTTTTTATTAATTTAGCAATAATATAAATATAAAAATGATAAAACTTTTATTTACAGTGAAATATATCGTATTAATGATACATTGTAACCACCCCCAAACAATGTTGCAACTTTCCCCGGCACCGGGGTCAGTTGCAACATTTGACTTTTCACTTTCAAATGCAAATAGTGAAAAATGTGCAYGCTTTAATCATCTATAAATGGTTTTGACTATTAACAGACAGATGGAAGTTTATTGTATTAAAATTTGGTTTGTCTAATTCAAAYYGTCTCTGAGTAACAGAGTCAAACGCAAAACGTGTTGCAACTGTCCCCGGTCTCCCCTACTACTTGTTTTGCCCTAATTGTGCCGTCCAAGAAATAATGTTTGTGCAGATTTTCGAGCCGAGCAGGGTTTGRGTTAGCGTTAGCCAAGCTAAATGCTAACCAGCAAAAGAGCGGGAGTTCCACATAAAAAAACAAACATAAAAAAGGGATTTAGTTGTGCAACCCGACTAAAACTACTTTACAAAGGTGATCATTTTACAAATGACTTCCTGCTAATGATTTTATTGTTACTGTGCTTTAAAATGTATTCATTTGTGCTTCAGAAACAACAAACAGCAAAACTGTCAAACAGCAGCTTTTTGAAATAAAAAAGCATTTTTTTTTCTTTTTTTGAAGACATCTTTCTATTTATTTTGGCAAAACAGCAAATATGCAGTGTAGACGCGGTTAAAAACAACATAAATATAGCTGCTGGTTTGAGCATAAAAAAGGGACAATGTGAGACAGCTGGACAAGCCTGCGGAGTTAAAAATACGAACAAAAAATGAATCCAAGGAGAGGCACTGGGAGACTTCGTGTCGTTTYAGCAGTTCTGCGTATTTAAGCAGTTCCCTCTTTACTGGTTGRACATCAGGAATTATTGACATGCTTCAGTTTGGTTTTTGTTTTAAATAAAGAAACAGAGCRGGGAGGAGAGCAGTATGTTAGGAGGTCCTTTCTGACATCTGATTTTCATTTCAGGAGCTGAATAAGCCGTTTAAACAGAGCCTCAGATGCTCCTGCTAACTGCTGAGTAGGATCCAGAGGAGCGTTAAAACCAGCAGGGCTACTGGTTTACAAGGAAAGTGTGTCTTTGTGTTCCTCATCCCACAATCAGTCTTTGTTCACAGGCTGAGGACGGCAGCTGCGGACCTCTATTACAACCAGATGTTCATAAACAAAAACAAAGGGCCGTTCTCCTCTTTTATATACATTTATAATTACACATGTTTAAAAGAGCAATGAGGAGGTTTGCAGCAGAGATACCCCCCACCTTACAACACACACACACACACACACACCACCACCACCACAGTCTGTCGAGAGGAATATTGTCACTACACTCTGACTTCACAGTTAGGCTGACCTTTCAAAGGTCAGTTTTATCGGGTTCCGTTGGAACGCCATACAGTTTCATTTCACAGACATGATGGAACTTCAAGACAAACTTGATAAAGATTATTGCTAATTGTACTAAAAACCACAGAAGTCCCGCTGCACGTGGAATATTTGTAGCGAAACTTGTTTACAGTGATGTCTCTGTCGGCCGTTTGATGAGGCGTGCTTGAGAAGCTGGGGATTTGTGAAGACAGATTTGAAGATCTGAAGCAGCTCGAACCGAGAATCTTTAGTCATAAACATCAGTGACACATAATCCAACATTTTCCAACCCAGCTGCCTTTTTTTTTTTTTTTTTTTTAAATGTGCAAATGGGAAATTCATCCAGTTTGGAAGTTTGTTCGTTCTGGCAGCAGTGAGCAGAACGACCTCCAGGCCATAAGGTTTGTTCAAAGGCAACAAAACAAAACAAAAAAAATTCAGGTTAGAGTTATCCTAAAGTAAAGCTTCAATGTAAAAGTGTAACATAACACAATGAGCCTTCAAGTGAACCTTCTGCATCATAAATAACCAGAGTCTCTTTAAGGCGTCATCTCAAAAGATTTATCTGTTTCCCTTTTTTATATATAAATGAACATAAAGCCAAGAGAAAGAAACAGCTGCATCATGAACAGTGCTGCATGTTTCAGTTCAGAATGATGTCTAACTGGCTTTGGGGAGCCTGCATGTCCAGAATTGCAAATTGCAAAAACCACCGTCTAATCAGAGTCAAAGGGTTTACTGATGTCTAAAGAGAACGTAAGACTCTGCTTCTGAAACTTTGGGACAATTGTTACTGGTGGTAGGATCCCCAGTGGAACTCAGAAAAAGTTTGGCTATCAACTATTAAAGGGGCAATATTATGTGTCTCAAGCATACATTTAAATATTATATCATAATAAAGTATCTATGTCACCTTTATCTGCTATTAAAATGCTGTTTTTTTGTTAAAATAGAAAACAAACTTATCTTCTCATCACTTCCTCTTCTAAACACCTTGAAATTGGCCTCTGTCTCTTTAAGAACCACCTTCCACTTCTGTGTCGCCCATTTCAGTGTGAGTGTGTGTGTGTGTGTGTGTGTGTGTGTGTGTGTGTGTGCGTGCGTGTGTGTGTGGAGAGAGAGAGAGGGAGAGAGCAGCGCAGCAGTCAGATCTCTCCACCCGAGGCTGAAGGTCAACAGACGATCATGCTAAGCTTGCTAACTGTTCCACCCTCTGACTGCTGCAGGGGCGTGTCTTAAGGGCTCGACACACGGGGAGCGACAAACTACAGCGATTAACGGCTGTCATCGCAGCCAGGGTGAAACCTGACACACGGGACGCGATAGCGATTGCAGCGTTGCGAATCGCGCTCTCAGGTCGCTTGTCTTCAYRAAATTTGATTGGTTCTTGACTCTGAAGGCGGGTGTGCATTACGGACGTGAAAACTAAACAAATCTTGCGATGCTAATGATATTGGAAAAACAAACACACATCAAGATACAGTTTTATGAGGAAAAACTTACCATAAACTTCACCCTGGTGCCAATAAATTCCCACAAAGCTTTTTATTAATCACTGGGTGAAAGTGTTAGCTAACTGCAGTGTGTAGCCTACTCTCCTCTCATTGGTCAGTCAATGAAACCCTCGCTGATTGGTTGTACGCTAAGCGACAGCGACAAAAGTTGAACATTTTTCAACTTTCATATGTCGCGTCGCAAGCTCGCATGTGCACGTCTACATGTACGAGCGTGAAATTTCACATGCACTATTTTCGCCGGTCGCTTAGCTGGAGGAGAGCAAGCGATTGTCGCCTCACCGCACAGGCTCCATAGGAAATRWATGGAGAGCGAGCGACGTCGCCTCCCGTGTGTCGAGCCCTTTAGAGAGAGGCTTTTATACCAGAACACAGCCGCTGTGACGAAACAGTGGAGAAGACACGTCACCGTGGAGAGCCGTTAACCAATATGCAAATTAGCCTGCAGTACCACTGCTCTACCCATATGAGCAGCAAAAASACGTTTTTAGACCAAATATTAGATTTGAATACGCACAAAAACTTCAAAATTAGCACAGAAACAGTACTATATAACATTTTAGACACATTCTAGACAGTTTATCAGCTAAAAAAATTTAATTTGGGGTTAAGTTACTCTTTAAGAGAACCATACAGTTTCAGTTTCACTTTCACTTTGCTCTGTTACTGCGAGAGCCTGCAGGAGTCATGGGTGGGGGTGTGTAGGGTGGGGAGTGGGGAGGTGTGCTCCGTGATGAGGAAGCTCGGCTTAAAGGCACATACCAGAGACATTTCTGGTCCCCACCTGTCGTTTTGCTCCTCAGCATGGCTTCCTAAAAACACTGCAGGATTTCTCAAACATGCATGAATGAGTCAAAGCAAGGCTTTGGGCTTGTTATAACATGATATAAAACTCAAAATAGTTGATTTTACATGATATTGCCCCTTTAACAATAAAAGCTACTTAATCACAAACTGAAAAGTGATGCTAAACTAAAAAGCAAAGATAGATGAGTGGTTTAAACAAATTATAATCTTAGTAGGAGGATGTTTCAGAATACTTTTGGAAACTGCATGGTTTGTGTGCGCGCGCGCACGTAATTGTGTGTATGTGTGTGTGTGTAGAAGTGCCAGCGAAGTCTGCAACCAAAGGTACAAAACAGTTCTGAAATATGACTGAAATGATGTTAAATTAGTAGAAGTTGTTGTGAGGCAGAAGAAGACTGCAGAGAATGTTGCTCTGTTCTTAGCAACAAATCTATGAAACCATCACATCTCACCAAACCCTTCAACCAGGATCAATTAGRCATGAATTAAAAGACCAAATATTATTTTAAAATGCTTCATCAAGAAAGCAGTGAGGAAAAAAATCTTTTTTTTTTTTAAACTGGAATAGTTTGGAACTAACAAACAAGATGCAGGAAGTCCTTCTGGTGGACAGATGTTCTCCCAACTCCCGGGGGTCTTCTCAGATTGATGGAGAGTACTGTTAATAAACACAAGGTATAAATCCAACGTGTCTCTGATGCTTTTAGCTACACACAAGCACAACGTTCATTCAGCAATAAGTATGGTTGTACAAGACTCAGATATTTTGGCACCAAATGCTTGACATCGTGTAAATGGACCAGAACAGATCTTTAACCCAATCAAATACAAAAAAGACAAAGTAGCTGAAGAAAAAAATGTTTTTTTCTTTTGGCTCCACTCTGCAGGGATTTGGCAATTGTTTTTTTTTTTTTTTTTAATCAGAAGTTTTTCCTTACACAACCTGGGTTTGAACCGACAACCTCAGGATGAGACTGCAACGCTGACCACCAGGTTACAGGTCGGAGAGAAGCACAGAGTGTTTCTATAAGGAAGTATCCACTCCTTTAGATGTTTTATGTTTTTACTCCTGCCATGGTCAACACATATTTTACAAAAAAAAATAATAACAATAATAATAATAAATTAAAAGAGCAAAGCAAAATCAATGACAACACAGTAATACAAATTAAATAAAAATCTGTAATGTAAAATAAGTGACTAAGTAAATATTCACCCCCTCTAAAAYGATTTATGACGGCAATATTAGCAGAAAACATCCAAGGGGGTGAATACTTTTCTAGGCAATGTAAAACTGAGCCAGACAGAAACAATGAAGACGACGAAACAAAAATTTTACAAACCAGTCCAGAACAACTAAATACTAACTCAGCAAATTAAATAATATTWCGCTTTTGCTGCTTGCAGCAATGCTTATAAGAAAAAAAAAAGACAAATGCCAAAAGATAACCTTAATTTACTGGAAAAACATGTTTGAGAGTTGATTTTGGTGCCTTGCGGTTGTAGTCCTGCTCGTGTCTCCTGAGCCCCTATGAGGGGCACGGTGGCCGTCATCCAGTGACTTTCATCGTTCCACAACCCTGTAGGCTCTCCTTTCTTTCAGCTTCGCACAAACACCTAACTACACAAACGCAATGCATTCTTTTCTGTCTTGCAGCTCAAAAAGGTTTACAAAATATTTCATAATGTAGAAAACGGTTTGCTGAAAAATACAMCAATATTTACACATGGAGCGTTGTTGAAAGGGGAAATGAAGAGCCAACATTTGGAGGGGCCCAAAGTCCTGCTGACGTAAATCTAATGTTATCACGGTTAATGGGTACTAGGGGGTAATAGTGCAGCAAGGACAAGGACTGGTTTACAATTTGAAAGGATTTCTCTATTGATCAAAGCAAGGGGAGATAAGCTTGGCTCCCACAATGCATTGGGGGTCAGGGTGCACATGAGGCTGCTGCTGGTTTTGCAGAATCTGAAGCAGCCTAATTTGTCAGCAGTTTAAAACCAGTAGAGAACATTAACAGAACCCTGCTTTAAGTCTGTCTTTTGAAGGTAAGCTCCTGTTTTTTTAAACACCTTGAAGACCTGCTTCACACACAATCCAGTTTTTGCATGTGTTTGTTCCTTTAAGCCAACATTTCCCCCTAAACTTCTTCAACTTACGTCGAGACAATCACACATGGCCTTACTCTTTCAGGACTACACAACGTACGACRACAGTTTTTAAAATCAAGTTGGCTTTCAAAACTTTGAACTTTGCTCTTTTTGTTGCCTCTGTAAACATGATGGCTGTTCTCAGGCTCCCAGCTCTGGTGTTTACTGGTCCAGCCGCAGATAGCCAGGTAAAGAGTAGTTAAACATGAGGAAGTCCATCTTGTAAAGATTGTAGAGTTGGACCTGCTGCTGAGAGCTGATATTGCTGAAGAACTGAGCAGTCATGGTATCTGTGGTACGCGTGGACTTGGCATAACTCGGGAAGCGCAGGGAGTCACCAACACCTACCAGCCGCAACACGTAGTTTGCATCCTCCTCGAGAGTCTCATACTTGCCCACCATGTCGTAATGAATGTGACATGGGTGACAAAGCTGGTAGACCGTCTGCCAGTGTTCATTAAGAGGCCCATCCCGCTGTGTGGCCGGATCAATCAGGTACTCAACAAATTCTTTGAATTTGACGTCGTCACCGTTGAGCATGGCCTCCTGCATGGCATTCTTGCGGTAACGCTTAATGATGCGGGTGCCGAAGCGCTTGTGGAAGGACGAGTTGTACTTCAGGGTGAACTTATTGCGGTACGCAGAGACCAGCCTCTCAAAGGGCTCGCGAACGAAGAAGAACTTAAAATAGTTCTTGAGACGGTGGTTGATCTCAGCAATGGTGTACTGATTTAATGTTTTCAGGTTTGAAGGAACATGGGCTTCATTTGAAGGGATTTCCATTGGGTCACTGTAGAGAAAAGGCAAAAGAAAAACATAAAACAACACAATTAATATACAACTATTAAGTACAGAGAAAATTTTCTTCAAATGTGTCACAAAACATCTTTTTACGACAGCCGAAGTAGTCCTGAAGGAATTTATCGGTTAGATACTGATGTTAAAAGCTCTACACCATTTTCTTAGTTTCTCTTTTAAGTATCGACTTTTATGATCTATTGTTTGACGATTGTTATGTCTTGATTAAAATAGTTTAGATACATGCCCGAACCACCAACAACACATAGAAAAACTGGGAAGGTGTTTGTTCGAGTGGCCTGCGATGCAGCCGTAGGCCTGTAGTGGGCGCACCAGGCACTGAAGAACCGTGTATGTATAAAAGACCGGAACTTCTGGTTTCTTTTCAGCGCTGCTTTAGCTGACTCCAGCYGGAAGAAATAAAGCACGCTCGTAACCAGATCTGGGGTTGTATGGTCCTATTCTGTTCACATTTCAATCTATTCACTATTTATGTGGTTTTGTCTCGATTTCAGTTAATGAACACTTAATTTTCTTACAGTCCCATAACAGACTTTATTCTTTTAGATGGGAAAAAGTTCGGGGAACCCGCCTCCTTCTCTTTAGCACCTGTCCCTTTGAAGAGTTTTGCAAAGCCGTGTTGTTAAGTTGATTTTACCTCACCTAAACCTCACTAAACTTTACATGTTCAGCTACTTCAAAAATGAGTCTTTTGTAATCCATGGTCCATTTACATGTTAAAATCTGCTAGATTTGCTCACCTGTATTTCCCTCGACCTGTTAGCACCATCATGACCCTCTTCCAGTTAGTGCAGGCCACCTTTGGGACGTAACAGTAGATAAGCTCATGGTCGTCATCCACCACCAGGTGTTTAAGGTCTCCAGGTGTCAGTACTCTCCGCTTTCGACTGGAGGCACTATAGACGCTGCAGGCATCCAGAACTTGATCCCTCCTGGACTGGTGGAGGACAGCAGCTGTTGACAGGTCCAACTAGGCATGGAAAAACACAGATTATTGCTGTGAGACTGAAGGTTTTCTGTATGACAGGTACAATAAGAGCTTTTATTTTTAGTGCTACAGTTTGTATTAAACTTTATTTAACCAGACAAATCCCATTTGTGACAAAGGTCAGGCCTGAAGACAACCTAACATTCATGTTTGTGGTCTGTGAGAGGAAATTGGAGGACTCTTTGTAAACAYAAGTACAACATGCAAACTGCACAGAAAGGTCTGAACTGGGAGTCAAACCCAGGACCTTCTTGCTGTGATGCATCAGTACTAACCACTGAACCACGGTGCTGTTATACATTAGTTGTAGGAGGGAGTTTTAAGGAAACAAGAGGCAATTCCTTCAAAAGAAGTACAGTTCAGTGCTGTGTGTTAGATTTGAAGCACTGTTTCATAACAGATGCCAGTTTAACAGCAGAACTAGCCTGGCCCTCGCCTTCCTACGCAGTTCTACTCAATTCTAGTTTCCCTTCTCTGCTCCGTCTGGGAYTTCTCCCATAGAGATGGATTTCGCTGGCAGATTTTTAGCCGAACCAATCAGAGAACMGAACGTYGATTTTCTGCGCAGTGTCTGCTTGTAGTTTATTTTGCCTGGACCAAYCAGCAAACAGAAGGCGGAGTTTTGAACGGCGTCCATTTTCTGTGCAGTGTTTGCTAGTTAGTTTAGCATACGGCAGGGGAGGAAGTGACTGAAGCCAGTCCGTGTTGAYAAGGCTTCCAAATTAAATTAAATTTGTCTGACAAAGCAGCAGCTCTCATTTACAGTCGTCTCGTTCAGCTCAGTACTTTTCTCCTCTCAGTAGGGTTGTCTACAGCACACGAGATTTCAGGTTAGCTTCTTAGCTTAGCCTCCTTCACAGCGACACTTCAGCAGAGGCCACGCCTCCAGCAAGAATCGCTTCTCTATAGCCGAGAGTCCAGACCCTCGATCCAATCATTTTAAACTTCAGCAGAGGCCACGCCTCCAGCAAGAATCGCTTCTCTATAGCTGCGAATCCAGACCCTCGTATGAAACAAAGTGAAGGACAAGGGTCTGGTTTCTACCAGGCTACAGCAGAATATAAATTTAATGATGTAGTGGAAGCCAAGTCATGAACATTGAAAAAGTAAAAGATTTGGAAAGAAAAGTGTTATAAAGATAATACTTTGTTAGACACTCTTCCACTTAAACAGTAAAAGTACTATAAGGATAATATATCGCTCAAACTGGTTTAAAAAACAACAACTTTTGATTCTTTTTTGAAGGCTGAACAGTTCTGGTTTTATTAGTTGTTGCATAGCCATCAAATATAGGAAAGTACAGTACAGTATAGTACTGAGTAGATTATAATAAAGTACAGTATAATATAATATAGTACAGTACAGAATAATAGAACAGCACAATAAAATACGGTACTGTACAGTTTAATGGGCTCGACACATGGGGAGTGACAAACGACAGCGATTAACACGTCTACGTGTATGACCGCGAAATTTCACATAAACGAGTTTCGCTCATCGCACAAGTTCCATAGAAAATGAATGGGGAGAGAGCGACGTCGCTGGCCGTGTGTCGAGCCCATACATCAGTACAGCATAATATTGTATAGTATATACCCAGACCCAAACCAGTGGTTATTCCGTATGTTGCGGGTGTTTCGGAGAAACTGAGACGTTTATTTTCTAAACATGATGTCCCAGTAGCTTTCA